GTTTTCCAGAGCAACCTCACGTTCGTTGGTGTCGTTGGCATGTTGGACCCTCCGAGAACAGAAGTCTTTGACAGTATTGTCAAATGTCGCCACGCAGGTATCCGCGTCATTGTCATCACCGGTGACAACAAGGCCACTGCAGAGGCAATTTGCCGCAGAATTGGCATCTTCGGCGAGGAGGAGTCGACCATGGGGAAATCGTACACCGGACGAGAGTTCGACGACTTGCCAATCGAAGAAAAGCGTGAAGCCTGCCGCCGGGCTCGTCTGTTTGCTCGAGTGGAACCAGCGCACAAAAGCAAGATCGTCGAGTTCCTGCAAGCCGACGGTGAAGTATCAGCCATGGTAAGACCGTAGTTAAGTGCGCAAGACAGGGCATTTAAGGCCCATTTTATAGATGAGAGAAATACTGGTCTATATCAGAAAAAAGGATACTTAAGATGTATAAGGCTCAGTCGGTCAACTGTTTGTAGTAAATCTGACTATTTTTATATTAAAACTATGGCCTCTGAATAGCAGGCACCTATATACACTGGGCAGGATTGATTGCAAGTCTTCAAGTGAAAATTTTAACTGGCAGCTTGCTGATCCTTAATGTATAGAACAGCTCGAAAAAAATGCCGCCAAGAATTAAGGGAGAAATATGCATCAAACTAAACATCTCAAATCCAGAAAGTTAAGCATCTGCGCAGGATAAGCACCTGTTCCAGTTTAGGCGTGGAGAGTAATGTTTAGTACTCGAGCCTTGGCATTTAAGGGCAAATAAGCCTTGAACTACGATTGTACGAACACTCAGTTTTAGTGGAACATCAAAGTACATTTGAAGTGTTTCATGCTTTAGCGGATCGCAAAAACGTTTAGGCCTGTGAAGATACCAACGCTCTATCTCTAACCGCCAGCCACAAAATCAGTCAATGTGGACTGCTTGTACACTTAGGCTCACTACGTGAAAGGGGCTTCGGTTTGCTCGCGACAACGTGCGCCATAATTTTTTGATTCGATTGATATCCCTGCGCATAGCAAGGACCGTATCTTCTGCGCGGCCTTGAGTTATTCCTATTTTAGGTGCACTTGGATGTTTTGAGTCAGCTTTTTATGCTCAAATTTAGGTTTTTCTCGTGCATTTCGTGTACTTTGACTAATATTTGTGGGATATGTTGGTATTTTGTACGCAAATCATTGCATGTTACTTAGGCTTGGCTGCCATTGTTGCTGTTATTAGAACTACTCTATTAATTTTACTAGACTGGTGATGGTGTCAACGATGCTCCAGCACTGAAAAAGGCCGAAATTGGTATTGCCATGGGCAGCGGTACGGCTGTGGCTAAATCTGCCTCTGAGATGGTCCTGGCTGATGACAATTTCTCCACCATTGTCGCTGCGGTTGAAGAAGGCAGAGCTATCTACAGCAACATGAAACAATTCATCCGCTACCTGATTTCTTCCAACGTCGGTGAAGGTGTGTTTTCGTAGCTGTCGATATACCCTGCTCTATAATGGGATTGTGACTTCTTATTCCAAGGTAATCCTTGTGTATAGCAGCTGGTGTGGCAGCTTGATGTCGACCGGTCGTTCGTTTAGCACCAAACTATGTCATTGCAGAATAAAACGGTTTCACGGTCAGTTACGGTTCGTGCAGTCTCTGTCAACAAAGCATGTGTGCACGTTTATGCATGACCATCAGAAATTCCCCGTCTGTATGTGGGCATTAGTTGATCATAACGAAATGATCATTACAGTTTTGAATGCGTTTTTATTGGTATTCTTTAAAAATTTAAATATTTATAATTAATATAACGTCACGTTTTTTGGATCAGTTGGTTTAAATACAGTAGACGCCGTTAATCATGCAATATCTCGACCTATGAGAAAGACTAATACTCTTTCGCTAATCAGAATTGACTTAAGTTGTGATACTGATT